TCACGGAGACGAGCAGAAGTCTCGCAATGTCCCGATGGTGTCGATGATAAGTCTGAGGGCGATTTGCCGGTGGTGTAAGGGCCGGCAGCGGTGGTGAAAAATATGGTAAACCAGGATTGATGTGCAAGTGGTGATGTGGTTTGACTGACGGGCCCTTGCTGCTTGATTTGGCTGGACCGACTGGCTGGCTGGCTGGGTTGTTGGCACGGGTGAGGAGCGGTACCTTGCTGATGGCGGAGAGTCAGTGGTCGGGCGAGGTACCTCGTTGAGTTGTAGTGGTAGTGGTGGTGGCCAGGCGAGGCAGGAGTGCTAACAGCGACAGGAGTGAGCTGTGCGTAAGGCCTTTCGTGTGCCTGGGCCTTGCTGCTATTGCTGTTGCTGGTCTTAGGCAGGTGGTTTGAGCCAGTAAATGGTAATAAGGGTCAAATAATTCGGGCTCTGAAAGCTCTGCGTCCACGTCGCTGGGCTAAAAATGAGTGCCTCTCGGGTAAAGATGCTGAGACGCAGAATCTGGCGATTGTGTTTTTGAGAAGGCGACGAGATTGTAGATGGGGGATATCAGGGACGCCAAAGTGAAGAATATGGCTGACCCCCTTCTTGTTGATGCGATGCTTTTGCCGGCTGAGGTGCGCTGCTCTCACGCCAGAGAGTTCTACCAGGCAAAGGTACATACGCCTTGTACCTTACCTTAACACGGCATGGAAGGTACGGCAGCCTTCTGAGGTGAGGCGGCCTGCTCTTTCTCAGTCGGGACTGGGACTGGGACTCAGTCTCTGTCAGTCAGTCAGTCAGTCACTTGCAAAAATCCAAATTTGCCAGCAGCCCCGACCCTGGCTGCAACTGGCGCCACCGGCTGCCACTCCCCTTGAGAGTGCGCTGCTGGGGAAAGGAGTGCCAGCGGCTGGCTGGGGATGGGGTAAGCTGCCTCATTGGGTGATGCGATCCCGAGCAAGCCACGGCTGGGCCATGCGAAAAACGGTACATGCGCGGTACGTATCTTTTCTCCTCCTGACACCTCACTGTCCTCGTGCTCACTGCTGATGACGATGGTGGACATTGGTCTCTTAGAATGAGCAGCTGGTTTAATGATACAGGCTTTCATATGTCTCTCTCTCTCTCCAATTAAGCAGCGAAATAACAGACTGGTTTAGTAAATATTTATCAACAGGTCGGAGGTGAGGATGGTCTTCACATTGAATCATCAATCCCGCTGGGCAGAGAGAGTTATCATGCTCAGTGAGCAGGGCATCTTCCAGCACCATCGCATCTCCTTAGGCGCTGTAAGATAATAACTCTTAGCGCCTTTGTCCACTATGACTTGCACCCAGCAGGCACCGTGTCTGTCGAGGCAGACCCGCAGGACGCGCTTTTCATCCTGGGCAGGGGCCCTGGGCCAATGAACTCTCGCCAAACGACTTTATGCCACATACGGACTAGCGCATCCGCATGTCCTGTCCCTGATGATGCACGTCTCCAGCTGCCAGATGGACGTGCCTGGCTGGGCGTCGGTCGGGTCCAGCGTCCACCTCAGTCTCCTCACTCCAACGGACCAGCGAATTGCCCTTGATACCAGTCAATCGCAACGCCATATTCAGCTCATTCAGCTGCTAAGAGTCTCGGAGTTTCTTGAAGTAGAAGATCAATTGCCTTGAGCTGTTGTTTCAAGCTTTTCGCCTTTCATACGGCCCCTGACTCAGCTTCCCGAGCATCCATCCATCCCTTGGACGAGCTCCCCGACCTGCCCTTTCCGGGCCAGGGCCAGGGCCTTCCACTGCCTTACACAGCACCGCCAATCGTCTTACCTGCCTGCGGTGGTGTACCAGATAGCTTGTGACGTCTGCCCCGCAACATCACCTCTCCATCAACAACAACACCAACAGCCACCACTACCACCACCAACATGCCTCCCAAGAAGACCAAGGCTGCCGCTGGCGGCGACGACATCGACGATCTCTTCGAGGGCATCGGCGGTGAAGCTCCCGCTCCCAAGAAGTCCCTCGAGAAGAAGCCCAAGCCCACCACCGCCGCCTCCAAGGCCATGGCCGACCAGGACATCCTCGCCGAGCTCGAAAAAGACCTCGAGCAGCCTTCCCGCCCGCACACGCCCCGTATTAAGGAGACGGCCGCCAAGGGCCCTCCTCGACGCTCTGCCACCCCGACCATTGACGACAAGGCTGCTGCCCCTCGCAAGTCTACCGACAGCGCCCGCTCTTTGCGCGCGAGCTTCACCCCCAGCGCTACGAGCTCCGATCTTCAAGAGACGGAGAAGACGACTGCGTCGTCCTCTGCCGCCGCTGCCGCTCCCGCTGCTGGTGGTGGCTGGTGGGGAAGCGTCTTCTCCACTGCCTCTGCCGCCATGAAGCAGGCCGAAGCTGCGGTCAAGGAGATTCAGAAGAACGAAGAGGCCAAGAAGTGGGCTGAGCAGGTGCGAGGGAACGTTGGCGGCTTGAGAGCATTGGGTAAGTACTGAAGCATCATTGCATGCGTAGAGGCGTTTTCGATCGGCCTGGTCCATTTTACTGACAACGTATGCACAGGCGACAACCTTCGCCAGCAGGCCATGCCGACCTTTACAAACATCCTCCACACCCTCGCGCCCCCGATCAGCTCCCACGAACGTCTGCTCATCCACATCACCCACGACATGGTCGGATACCCCTCTCTCGACCCCTTGATCTACGGCACCTTCTCGCGCGTCATGTCCCAGGTCGAGGGCGGCGAGCTCATGGTTATCCAGCGCGGCCAGGAGAACACCAGCAGGAGATACTCCAACGACGGCGGGGCCGGCTGGCGAGATGGCCCCTGGTGGAGGCAGGCTGACTCCCCTCGTGACCTCGGCATGATCAAGGGTCTCATCGAGGGTACCAAGCTCTGCCGCGCAGGCGCTGAGGGCTACGCCAACGAGTACTTTGGAGCCCACGGCGGTCTGGAGCAGGCCAGGATTCGTGCCACCGAGCCTCTGAGCGAGGAGAACCCGGTGCGCAGCTCCGACCTGTTCCTTGCCATCCAGGCTGTTGGCACGACCTCAGACTCTGCCCTCTTTGCGCGAACTGCGGCTGTTGAGAAGGAGAAGGAGGCGTCTGCTGTGGCCGATGTGGATGAGGCGGATGAGATGGTCTGCTTTGCGGTCTTCTGCCTGGACCCTGTTCACGAGATTGAGTACTCGGCCATCAGCCAGTCTATCCCCGCAAGGTGGATCCAGTGGTTGGATGCGTCTAACCCGTTGACGCCCGCCAGCGGCGAGGACGGCCAGGCGTCTTTGAACCAGTCGATTCCTGACGAAATTCGTGAGATTGTCGAGGGCGGCGGTGTCGACCCCCGCGAGTGGGTTGCCGAGTGGATCGAGGAGCTTCTTGGCCTTGCGGTCGGCGTTGTTGCTCAGAGATACGTCGCCAGGAGAATGGGCGTTGGTGAGGGCGGCATTGGCAAGGGCAAGAGGCGCATGGATGAGCTCGTTGAGGATGGCGGCGGCGAGGCTGCCCGTGCCGGACTGATTTGAGTTGGAGGTTGAGAGCCAGAGTGTAGGATTTTATTTGCTTGGGAGTTCGGGTATACCTGTTTTCCTATCCATCATCCCAACCGGCATTCTGTTTGCTGGTCACAAACTAGAAGCGAGGTTCTACTATTGGGGAACGATGGCATATGCCTCTTCCCAGGACACATTGTCGGGGTTTGGATTTTGAATATCACGGATGTTATCGAGACGACGTATTTCACGATAGCTTTAATGGCTTCAAGGGTTTTCCTCCAACTGTCTGGTCTCACCCGGAGATGAGCTGTGCTTTGTGTCATCGTTGAGAAGGCGTGTTCGAACATGGCCTGTCGATATTAATTATCTGATCTGCCCTGCATGATCCCTCCTGAAGATCGTGGTGCAAATCATGTGGCTAGAGTTTCATGGATACCCCGGCTCCGACTAACACGGTTTGACGTGGCCAAGTGCCGCCAGCTGGAGCAGCCATCCTGCCGCCCTTCCTTTCCGTTTCCAGCGAAGACCTTTCCCGGTATTACGTAATCAGAATCTACCCATCGTAAAATCAATCCTGAAGAAACTTTCCACCCATTGCCTCCTCCTCGTCCATCGCAACCACCATCAGCAACATTTGGCAGCGCGCATCTCGCGCAGCTCAAGTGAGCGTTAACGAGCACAGGCATTAATGTTCATTGCCTGCGGCTCAATGCTATACACAAACCCGTCGTTCCATCACGTGTGGGAACACACAACACATACACACAAAACAGCAGCGTCATACCAGTCACTCGCGCCTACACCAGGGCACCGCTACGAGTCCTCGCTTTTGCGAGGGTCTTCTACCCGCGCCGCGTTTTGCGGAGCAGATTTGAAGAGGACGGGGATTTTGCGGGCGACGTGGGAATTTTCTCGTCCTTCGGGATGGGATCTTTTTCGCGTCGTCTGGTTGAAACCGCTGCCAGAACAAAGGACCATCATAGTCCATGCCCATCTTGTTTCCTACATGGGCGAGGCTCCAGGCGTACCGACATACTATGCGTGAAATGATTGCGTGTTTGGTGATGAGTGTCTTCTTTTTGTGATCGTGTCCTTGAGATCGAACGCGAGGGAAGCGCCGTTCGGCAAGATGATGCCGTCCAATCTTTGATGGACCCAGTTCGACGCCGACGCCGTTGATTCGTCGCGCGTGCCGGCACCGACTTCCCGCCTGGCTGGCGCTGAAATGTCACCACCGAACTTGCCTTGACGTCACTTGGCAGTCAGCCCAAGAACCGCACCTTTTATCGACCAAACACACACACACTCACCTTACCCTCGTTTCTTCAGTACGTAGCTCTTTATCAGCTAGCGTGTGTTCCCTGCCAAGGAAAATAGATGGCTTCCATCCTTCTCGACATCGTCGTACATCGCGCAACCTTTGCATGTGCTCGTGGTGTTTCTGTGTCTTGAAATACAACTTGACCCCAAGCTCGTCTCACTCCCATCTCCCTTTCACGATACCACACATCACACTAACAAAACATACAAAATGCCGTCCTCAAAGTTCTCCCACCTCCCCCTCAGCACCTCGGGCCCCATCCCCTGCGCCGTCACCGGCGCCGCCCTGCTCAACACGCCCTATCTCAACAAGGGCACCGCCTTCCCGCACGACGAGCGCCGCGAGTTCAACCTCACCGGTCTGCTCCCGCAGAGCATCCACACGCTGGACCAGCAGCTCAAGCGCGCCTACGAGCAGTACGCCAGCCGCCACGACGACCTCGCCAAGAACACCTTCCTCACCTCCCTCAAGGAGCAGAACGAGGTGCTGTACTACCGCCTGCTGCAGGAGCACCTGCCCGAGATGTTCAGCATCGTGTACACGCCGACTGAAGGCGACGCGATCCAGAACTTCTCGCGGCTGTTCCGCAGGCCGGATGGGTGCTTTTTGAACGTGAATGATGTGGACAGGGTGTATCATGACCTGGCGCAGTGGGGGAGGCCGGAAGACATAGACTACATCGTCGTCACTGGTAACTCCTGACCCGAGACTCGCAAGGGGAGTGTGTTTGCTAACGGAGACGACAGACGGCGAGGAGATCCTCGGGATCGGCGACCAGGGCGTCGGCGGCGTGCTCATCTCCGTCGCCAAGCTCGTCCTCACGACGCTCTGCGCCGGCATCCACCCCAACCGCACGCTGCCCGTCGTGCTGGACTGCGGCACCGACAACCAGGAGCTGCTCGACGACGAGCTGTACCTCGGCCTGCGCCAGAAGCGCGTGCGCGGGCACAAGTACGACCGCTTCGTGGACGAGTTCGTCAAGGCGGCGCGGAGGCTGTATCCGAGGGCGTATATCCACTTTGAGGATTTCGGGTTGACAAATGGTGTGTTTTTGCTTCTTCTTCTTCTTCCTTTGCCTCTTAGATTTGGCTAACAGTGTGGACAGCCAGACGCATCTTGGACCAGTACCGCCCGCATATCCCCTGCTTCAACGACGACGTGCAGGGGACGGGCTGCGTCACCCTCGCGGCCATCATGGCGGCGCTGCACGTCAGCAAGCAGAAGCTCTCTGACCTGAAGCTGGTCATCTTCGGGGCCGGCTCGGCGGGTGTTGGCATCGCGGACCAGGTGCGGGATGCGATTGCCGCGGAGGGGGGCATCGGCAAGGAAGACGCCGCCAAGCAGATCTGGTACGCCTTCTTTCATGCTTTCGTCATCACTGGATCAATACTGACCAAGTTACAGGCTGATTGACAAGCCCGGACTCCTGATCACCTCGAGCGAGCTCTCCCCCGCGCAGAAGAGCTTCGCTCGCGACGCAGCCGAATGGGACGACACCTCCGCCGACCTCCTATCTGTCATCAAGAAGGTGGAACCAAACGTCCTCATCGGCACGTCCACCAAGCCCAAAGCCTTCACCGAAGAAATCGTCCGCGCCATGGCTGCCGGCGTCGAGCGCCCCGTCATCCTCCCCCTCTCCAACCCCACCCGCCTCCACGAGGCCGTGCCTGAGGACATCCTCAACTGGACCGACGGCAAAGCCCTCGTCGCCACAGGATCCCCCTTCAAGCCCGTCAAAGGCCCCTGGGGCCCCGACGGCAAGGAAATCGAGATCGAGGTCGCGGAGTGCAACAACAGCGTCGTGTTCCCGGGCATCGGGCTCGGCGCGGTGCTGTCCCGCGCGCGGCTGGTCACGGACAAGATGCTCGTGGCGGCGGTGGAGGGCGTGGCGGCGCTGAGTCCCGCGCTGGAGGACCAGACGGCGCCGCTGCTCCCGGGGGTGGATGTGGTGAGGGATGTGAGTGTGAGGGTGGCAAGGAACGTGATCAAGGCGGCGGTGGCGGAGGGGGTGGCGACAGAGGAGGGGATCCCCGAGGAGGACAGGGAGCTGGACGAGTGGGTGAGGGAGCAGATGTGGACGGCGGAGTATAGGCCGTTGAAGCTTGTGGGCATGGAGGGGGCGAGCAGGGAGGCGAAGGGGGAGATGGGCGTTGCGGGGAGCTTTAGCAAGCCTGGGAGTTGGTAGATGGTTAGACGGCTAGACGAGGAGTCTGGTTCTTTGGATATCTAATCTCCTGTTTCATGAGACGTTTGGATTTTGTGATCTGATGGTTGGCTAGACTGGATACTGAGTCCACAAGTGTACTCTGCGCGGGATTCGAGTGCAAAAGCTGTAAGTGACTAATAGGCATAGTAAGGTCAATAGTCTTCATTCACTTACTCAAACAGACACATGTAACGATAGAAAAGAACAAGTCAAGATAGTGATGGGTTATCAAGGCTACACAAATGTTGCTGATTAAAGAGTGGGACTACACTGATTAAATGACACAACAAGAGGGTAGCCTTTTCGATTCTAAAAGAAATCATTAAATAGCAAGAACAGCATCTTTAATAATAAGTTAAATGTTTTCACATTTTATAACTTAAGATTACCTAAGTTCACATGTAAAAACAATACTTTAAGTCTCTTAAATAAATTTTACTTTTTTAATACTAAAGATATAAACACATAAAAATAGCATTAGGAGGATGCTCTAAGCTATTACACGTGCAATTAACTACGGAAGCGTATTACTTATTTCAGGAAACATAAAAGGATATCTACGTATACACACAAACTACAAAACGTAAACGAATGTCTTGATCAGGTCAAAAAAAGGAGTGTAAGCGTGAGGTCAATATATGCTACTACAGGTTCCTTCTACGTCAAAGGATCGGCTTCCTTTCACTCATTTGCCATCTTAGGTAACGATTATCATTTTGATTTTCTTCTTTGACGTAGAATCCATACATATACGCATTAAATTCTCCCACTTCTGCAATACATTTTTCGTCAGGTAATTACCGCTCATCTCAAACAACCACGCAGTTTGTACCACACCAAATACCTAATCACAAAAAAAAGTCCAAAATGTCTCAAATCATGCCCCCAATCCCACGCATCTTCTTCACCTACATCGAGCCCCTCCTCTGCCCCTTAGGCGCCATCCAGCCCCTTCTCAGCCCCTCATCCATCACCGCGCCGCTGACCTCCAGCCCGCGCGAGCCCACGCCCACAGAAACCCTCTGGGCGCTGCAGAACGCCGTGCTGCTGTTCGGGTTTGCCCTGCTCACCTGGGTTATTATGCTGCACAGTAATGACAGGAAGGTTGTCAGGGGTTACGTGCTGGTGAGCGCGCTGATGGACTTTCCGCACTGGGGGGCGCTGGCGGTGGCGTTAAACAGGGAGGGGGTGTTGTGGGAGGTTGGGCAGTGGAGGGGGGAGATGAGAATGTTGGCTTTTGTGCCGATGGGTACGTTTTTGGTCAAGGTTGGGTATTTGGGGCGGTTGTTTGGGAGGGATCGTATGGTGAGGAGGTAGGGTTGAGATGTTGAAGGGGTGGGATAGTGAAATTCGAAAATTTCAAATATAGAAGCGGGAAGTTTGACGCAACAATGGTTTTGATATCAATCAGACGAAAAGTACTATGATAACATTGGATGATTAATTAAAAGCGTAGATGTCAGCTGCTGGGTCGCCTCTTTATATCATGATAACACCAAAGAGATAAACAGTCACACGACACCACCAAGCAGACACATTTAACTGATTTGATTCTTTCTATCCTTCTACAGCCTACTGCTGCGACACATCCACCTTACTCCACCAAAACTCAGACTCCTTCCTCGCCCAGGTATCATCATGCAACCTCGCCGGCACGCCCGCCGCACCCCCAATCAGCTCCTTGTTCTCCTCCCCAAACACCATCGCCTTCGGCGTCCCCTCCGCACTATACCGCTCCCACGCGGGCCTCTCCGGCGCAGACCCCCTCACCGCGTTCGGATCGCCCGTCGCGATGAAGCTCGTGATGTATGCGTTGTACGTCAGGCACAGCTCCTTCTGCGCCGCCGAGATGCCCGTCCGGTTCGGCTCGCACGTCTCGTAGTACATGTTCTCGCCGTGCCGCGCGCGGTCCAGCAGCGAGCTCTCGAGCCCCCACTGGTAGAGGTACACCGGCTCGTTGGTCGCCTTGCTCGCGAGCTCCGCGGTCTGCCGCACAGGCGCGACGTAGGCGTACTGTCCGTACGCGACCTCGAGCCGGCGGTACTGCGCGCCGGTGCCCTCGAGCTGCTCCTTGTACGGCGAGTCCGCGACGGTGAGGGGGTCCGGGTAGAGCGCGTCGATGGTGGCGACGTCGTCGGCGGAGAGGAGCGGGAGGAGGTCGGCGAAGAAGGAGGTGAACTCGTCGGAGCGGGCGACCTTTTTGCTAATGTAGATGGAGCCCTCGTTGCGGTTGAAGCCGGTCATGATGGGGACCTTGCGCCACTTGTTCAGGCGCCAGGACTCCATGGGCGCGCGGGGGATGATGTCGCCGTCGACGACGGGCTGGAAGGCCCAGCGGAGGGAGGGGTTGTACTTGTCGAAGACGGCGATCTGGGCGGCCTGGACGGTCTCGGTGGGGGCGGCGCGGAGGAAGGCGAAGGTGTCGGCGGAGGAGAGGCCGGGCGGGCAGGCGCAGGCGGCGAGGAAATCGGCGAACTGGGCCTCGTGGATGGGGGCGCTGTAGGGGCGGACGGCGCGGGAGGTGGGCGCGCCGGATTCGAGGATGGCTTTGTGGAAGAGGGGGGCGGATTGGCCTTCGTCGTGCACGAGGATGTGGCCGATCTGGGGGGGAGGGGTGTTAGTTTCTGGGCGGGAGTTGGGGGAGAGACAAGAAGCTTACGGAGTGTGCTCCAGCGGAGATGCCGAAGAGGGTGACGTTGTTGGGGTCACCTCCAAAGGCGGCGATGTTGTCGCGCACCCATTCGAGGAGGAGGAGCTGGTCCTTGAGGCCGAGGTTGAGGGCGCCCTGCTCGTAGCTCGTCGTCGAGGGGAGGAAGCCGAGGGCGCCGATGCGGTAGTTGAAGGACACGGCGACCAGGTCCTGGCCGGAATTGGCGAGGAACGAGGGCGTGTTGTGCATCATGGCGGTGCCGCGGTTGAAGGCGCCGCCGTGGATGTACACGCCGACGGGGAGCAGGTCCTTCTTGCCCGCGCCCTGCGGCCGGAAGACGTTGGCCGTGAGGCAGTCCTCGCTATACTCGAACTTGGGGCCGCCGGGGAAGAGCTGCTTGCCCGGGGCGACGGCGCCGAACTTGGAGGCGTCGATCGTCGCCGTGGACGGTTCCACCTTCACCGGGGGCCGGAACCGGCGGTCGCCGGTCGGCGGCTGCGCGTACGGGATGCCGCGGAAGGCCTCGACCGGCCGCGGGATGGCCTCCGTCACGACGGTGCCGACCACCGTGCCCTGCGCGATGGTCACCGAGGGGCGGTCCTCAACCTTGGAGCCCATCTTGGGAATGTATGTGTGTGTGTATGTCTTGGATGGGTGTCTTGGTTGGGGCAAGGGTGAGAGGTGGGTGGTGAACCGGGGGCTTGGTAAAGCTTGGGGTGGGTGTGGTTGATGATTAGATCAGGTATCGGCGGATGGATGTACCGGATCGCCGTTGCAGCAACTATCGCACGGCAGACAGGCCCTCCCAATTGAGTTGACTAGCATTGTTAAATGAGTAGGGAAAGCCGCGACGTTGGTAGAGAGAAGCCATGTTTTCCCGCGGGGATCGGGCGGCCGAGCGATATCGGCTCAAGAAGTGCGCTTTCGGGCCCAGATCTGTCGTCCGAAGCACTCTTTGATCTTCAGGCTTATCATGTTTATCAGCGCCGGTCGGCAAGACCCCGACCTCCTCTCGACTCATGCGGCCCCCGGCCGTGTTCCCCGCGATAGCCAGACCAGCCATTGGCAGACCCAGGACTGCGGATAAAGTAGCCCGTTATGGGGTTTCCTGGGCATGGGTCCGGTTCCTGATAAGATGCTTGTTTGGTTTACTCAACTGGCAGAGTAGGACTGACAGTTCCCCGGGCTATCTGCACTATCTGGGAGAGGGCTCGTCTATCAACTGCACCCCGGAGACCAGGCCTCGTGAGCCTGCGGGGGGTCGAGATAATGGCCAATTGGCGACGGGGCATTAAAACATCATGTCCTCTCCCCTCCCCGTGAAGTCACGAAGGTCGAGCCGTCAACTTCAACGCCTCTTGTTGTTCCTGTTGCTAGACACATCGGTCCTTTGAGACAGACAACGACAGCAAAGATGGCGGACAACACGCACGTCGTCGACAAGGACATCAAGGCCGCCGAGGACGGCCTCGAGCCGACCAAGTCGCTGACCGCCGGCGAGGTCCAGCACCTCGACGCCTCCGCCGAGTTCCTCTACCAGAACAACATCACCGAGGAGTACCTCGCCGAGCTCGTCAACGACAAGGAGAAGAACCGCAAGCTCGTCCGCAAGATCGACCTCATCGTCCTGCCCCTGCTCGCCGGCACCTACGTGCTGCAGTACATCGACAAGCAGGCGCTCTCGTACGCCGCCGTCTTCGACCTCTTCACCAGCACCAGCGTCACGCAGACGCAGTACTCGTGGTTCGCGAGCATCTTCTACCTGGCGTACTTGGTTGCTGAGTACCCATGGGTCTACCTCGCGCAGAAGACGCAGATGGGCAAGGTCGTGGCCGGGTGCGTGCTCTCGTGGGGTTCCGTGTTGATGATCACGGCCGCGTGCTCCAACTTCCCCGGCCTGGCGGCGTGCAGATTCTTCCTGGGAGTCTTTGAGGCCCCGATCACCACCTGCTTCATGATGATGGTTTCCATGTGGTAAGTGACTCCAACCTCACCCGAACCCGGAGTATAGTTAGCTAACACATAACTCCAGGTACGTCCGATCGGAGCAGCCCTTCCGCGCGGGCATCTTCTACTGCTGCAACGGCGTCGGCTCCATGCTAGGCGGCATCCTCAGCTACGGCATCGGGCAAATCGACTCCTTCCCCGTGTGGAAGGCCGTCTTCCTCATCTGCGGCGGCATCACCGTCCTCTGGGGCATCCTGCTGCTCTTCTGCCTGCCCGACAGCATCCTCACCGCCAAGCGCTTCTCGCTCGAGGAGCGCGCCCTGCTCGTCGGCCGCGCGCGCCTCGCCCGCACCGGCGTGCTCAACAAGACGGTCCAGTGGTACCAGATCAAGGAGGCCGTGCTCGACCCGCAGGTCTGGCTGCTGACGCTCTTCGTGCTGCTCAACGAGGTCATCAACGGCGGCGTCGCCAACTTTGGCAAGCTCATCATCAAGGGCCTCGTCTCGGACCCGCTGCTCACGACCGCGCTCGGCATCCCGCAGGGCGCGTTCCAGGTCTTCTGGATCCTGTCCGGCGCGTACACGGCCACGAAGCTGAAGAACCAGCGCACCACGGTGATGGCACTGTGGCTGATCCCGACCATCCTGGGTTGCGTCATGATCTGGAAGCTGGACAGGGCGCACTACAAGGTCGGCGTGCTGTTCGGGTACTACCTTGTCGGCTCGTTCGTCGCGTCGCTGGTGCTCGCGCTGCAGATGCCGGCGACGAATTTGGGTGGCTACACGAAGCGTATTACGGCCTCGGCCATCGTCTTCACGGCGTACTGCGTCGGAAACGTTATTGGGCCCCATGCTTTCCTGGCCAAGGAGGCGCCGCTGTACCCGACGGGGTGCAAGGTCATTCTTGCGTGTTCGGTTGCGCAGATGTGTATCGCCATCTCTTTGCGGGTGATGTTGATGCGTAGGAATAAGCAAAGGGACGAGGCGGCTGCTGCGGCTGCGGTGACGCCTGACGCTCAGCATGAGGATGAGGGTGTTGATTTGACTGATATGGAGAACCCCAACTTCCGTTATGTGTTGTAGATGGCGGTGGTGATGGTAGAGGACGGAGCAGATGAGCTGTTTAGAGTTATGATCATGTTCTTTGAAGTTAGCGTCACAGCGATCAATGATTACACGCATTACATGCGCTTCACTTTTGCGATGACTTTGCGTGTCTGTAGTCAACCCTGGCTCAGTGGATGAGGTGAGGAGCACCCAGCTGCCTCCCACAGGAAGCCGTGGACTGGGTTCCGGAAAACATCAACATTCGAATGGTAGCAAGCGAGTCAACTCTTGGCCATGTAGCTCTGCACCATTTCAAAAACACAAAAAGATGGCGAACTCAAGGTGAGAAACAGGCATCGTATTGAAGCAATTAGTGCCTAGACATGTGAGACCCGTATCTGTACTATGGCGAACACCTTAACCGCCACGGCTTTTTCAAGGCCTCATACTTTGATCTGCGGCATGGAGGCTATCGAGGTAGCCCCAGAATCCTCGGCCATGGGAGACCATCGAGGGTGGCACGAGAATCCTTCGCTAGCCGGGAACGAGGAATTGGGTACGGGGGAGGAGTTTCGCAGTCGAGGGGCGGTAGACGAGGACGAGGACGAGAGTCACTGGACGGGAGAGGCTTGTTCTTGTTTGTCTCGAACGCGGAAAATCTCATTGTGTTGGGTAGTCGTGAACCATTCCTATGCCATTTTCCTCTCCTCAGAGAGCCGGACGCCTCGAATTGGCGATTTTTTGTCCCATGCAACCAACTCTAGATCCATGTAGACCGACCGAACCGAACGACTAGACCTTTTGAGAGAAAAGAGTCAGTCACCGAGTCCGAGTCCGGCTTCGCTTTTTGGACGCCAATAAAATCCCTCGAGAGCCTTCTGCAAAGCCCCGTCCACAACGTACCATTTCCTTTCCTCCCCCGAGGACGAAGCCTCAGCATTTATCGCTGGGCGGACCAGACGGCCTTGACGAGGCCATCGCGCTGGGCAAGGCGGTTGAAAGCGTCGTCGCTCTCACCCATGGCACGGACGAAACCGCAGAGGGCGTAAACGTGGTTCTCGCCGGGGACAGCGCGGCCGTTCTCGTCAACCTTGGCGACGGAGATCTGGACGGAGGCGTGGTCCTTGGCCTTGATGATGCGGTTGGTGGCGCTGCACTTGCGCGGAACGTAGCTGGAGGAGGAAACATGTTAGCAAATCCGTCTCTGTGCCTATTCATCCTCCGTCGCATTGCGATCCCTGGCCTTCCTCCCAATTCTCAATCGTGAAGCAGAGGTCCGAGAGGGGAGCCGAGAGAAGTTCCACGCAAAAAAATGCCGCCTTCTTCTGCTCTCGTTTCCCTCTTGAACTTCTTTCCTCCAGAACGAGAATTCGGCTGCCGGCGCGCGGGTGCATCGTGACGTGGCGTCTCGAGGACGGGTAGTTCGGTGTTCGCTTACAGATCGACGATCTCGCCCTTGTCGTTCTCCATTGCTGCGGTTGGCGTTCGGGGGGTTGTCTAGAGAAGTTGTTGGTGATTTTGCGTTACGCGGAAGTGGTCGTCGGGAAGAGACTGAGGCGTGGTGGGGGTGACTTCTTAATTTTGCCAAAAAACTGTGTGGGCGCCTCCTGCCAAAAAGTCCGGTGGGTTGCGCCTGCCGAGCCGGCGGCAGGGCTGCAGTCACGTGTCGCTTGAGTCAGGTGACTGCGCGGCAATGACGCGGTTGTCGAGGGCGCTTGGGACGCTCGGGCCTCCACCCCGCTGCAGCGTTGGTACGTGCTCCGCTGGGGCTTCGGTCCCGTTTAGTGGTCTTAGTGGTGTCGCGCGTAGTGTGTTTTGCTTCTTGAAGGAGGGCGTGAATGACAACTCGAAGCGCCATTGCCACCACCAATACATCTGAGACACTACGGGCGACTTCAATGTCTACGCACGCCTTGCAGTCACTACGATAGTCTCCTGCAGACCCCCAACAAACATCCTGCTGCGGCTTGTGTTGAAACCATGCGCCCGGCGCATCACCCTGGGCCTGCCGAGATTCACGATGGGGTCTCCGTTCGGGACCATTCCTCATGACCCCTACAGCTTCTCCTCCTCCTCGCCAGGACTTCCGTCTCTCGACCAGATCAAATCACAGAACCCTTCTCGACCTCCGCTCCGAAGTGGCAGCGCGGCAATGCCCATTCCCGACAATGCAAGCCATAGCTTCAGTAGCGTATCCAGCTTCCTCCGCCACGAGCACTCCACGATCGACCTGACGACTCCGTCTAAACCCCCGACCGAAAACTCTGGCATGCCCCCGCCACCGTTACCCGAAGAGGAGAAGCCAGTTGTTGTGTGCCTCGCGACGGTGTCGAAACCGAAGCGGAAGAGAGGTGTCAAGGTGTTGGAGAAGAAGCCAGGCCAACCGCCTCCAAAACCAGCCAAAGCTGGGAAGGCCGCCAAGGAGAAGGAGGAAACCGAGGCCGACCAACCGTGGAAGAAGTACTTGAAGGACGCTGCCGAGAAAGAAGAGAAGAAGACCAAGGCTACAAAGGCCAAACCTGCGGCCAAAGCTAGAACGACGAGGAAGAAGAAGGAGGAAACCGTCAGTCGCCACTTTGCCAAACCGAAAGACGAGGACCAGGGCCAGGACCAGGAGGCCGAGGCGCCTAAGCCGCCAAAGAAGACCAAGAAAGATGCGGACGGGCCTTCGGATTTGGAGGCGGCCATGCGCCGTCGCAAAGATTGGACACCACCACCTGCCGATACTGCTGCTGGTTCAAATCAACAGGTCGTGGACTTGCTTTCCTCAACCGATAAGACCTCAAGTCTCATAACCTCAAAGGAGACTTTCGACAATCTTTTCAAGAACTATGCGCACCCGGAGGAGGAGCAGGCGCGGCCCTCCGTCGAGCCACCCGACAATGAGCGTCAGGTCTTAGGGAAGAGGAAGTTGATCGAGACTGTATCTATCAACGAAACGGCCAAGACGGGCCCGTCCGAGAGAGCGGCCCCGAAGGCCAAGGCACCCAGGAAGAAGCCTCGAACTATCACTGAGCTAGCCACAGCTGCTTATAAGGTTCCAGAAGCTACTGAGCAGCAGGATCCATCTGCACTTGCACCAGAGAGAAACGCCGTCGAAGCAGAGGAGGCGAAGGGCAAGGGAAAGAAGAGGGCATCCAAGGCCAAGAAGCCGAAAAAGATGCCACCGCCGGAACCTGTCCTCCTTTCACCGACCGCAGCTTTGAGACAGGCCGCTAACCAGGACTATGTCTTTGGCACCTCGAGCCAGCTGGCTCGGGAACACTCGCCAACGTTCCTACGAGACCTCCAATCAGCTCTCCAAGCCTCAAACTCGCGAGGAAAGGAGAACGACCCCTTCGTGACGCCCATCAACAGTGATGCGGTAGAGCCAGAACCGCGACAGAAGCTATGGGGTGTCGGTGCAAGAGACGAAGATGGACGAGTCTTGGACCTCGAAGTCATCAACTTGGCAGACACGCCACAGGGAAACGAAGGCACATCTGAAGGGCCCAATCCATTTGGATACGTGGCCGCGGACAAGCAGGCGCCATCAATACCGAATCACTTCCCATCAGATGACTCGTTTCCTGATATTGACGATCTTCTCGGAAAAGCGATTGCGGGGGAGCTGCCTAGCATCCAAGAGGAGGCACCAAACTTCCAACCCGCGGCAGCTCAACCCGCCCCGAAGGAACCAAGCCCTGCGCCCGAACATGAGGCTGCATACCGAGCCGAGAAGGACATCTCCGAGGATGACATTGACCTGCCGCCGCCGCGGTTGCCGTCAGTAACTGGCAGAGGAACACGACAGCCTGCTGCCAAAGCCAAACCTGTCCAAGAACCCAGCAAACCCAGATTCGACCTATACACTGACGTCCAGCTCGCACGTGAAATCTCCTCGTACGGGTTCAAGCCAGTCAAAAGACGCACGGCTATGCTTGCTCTATTGGACCAGTGCTGGGAAAGTAAGCAGCGACCAGCTCTTTCTTCCCTCCCCACGAACCATCCGATGATCTCGACGATATCTGAGTCACAGACAGCTGCCAAGGTGCAAAGGGCTGCAGCTGCTGTGTCACCCAAACGCCCGCGGGGCCGTCCGAGAAAGAACAGTGACGTTGCGCCAGCATCCCAGGAGGTGTCACCTAAACGTGGGCCGGGACGGCCCAGGAAGACCCCCAGCATCGAACTCATGTCGTCGCCCAAACGCCCGCGGGGTCGCCCGAGAAAGAGTAGCATCGAGATCCCGTCCAGTGAGCCGCCGCCGTCAGCTCAGCCTCCGCCGCCATCTCCCAAACGGCGACCCGGACGGCCGAGGAAAACCGCTGAGCCGACACGAACCACCGGCGGCACGATAAGCAACAAGGGTAAATCCAAGGCAGCTGCAGATACTCCAGATGTAGCTTCGCCGGCGGCGTCACGCGCGAGGAAGCTTGCGTCGCAGAACATTATCGAGATTCCTGATTCGGCCTCTGAAGGGTCACTGTCGCCGTCGCCCTACTCATCTCCGGAACCAATGTTCTCGTCACCGCCGCCGGTGGATGCTTCCTTATCAATTACGGAAGATACGGAGATGTCGCTCGCTGCGTCGCCAAAGAGCCAGGAGTCTGCGGCTCTGTTTGAGTGCATCACCGAAGCCGTGACGACGGCACCCCCAACCACGGACCCGAAGAAGCCCACCTTTCATGAGATGATGTTGATGTATGACCCTATTGTGCTGGAGGACCTTGCCACTTGGCTGAACACAGGTCAGCTGTCCAGAGTTGGCTACGACGGCGAGGTCTCCGCGGTTGAAGTGAAGCAATGGTGTGAGTCCAAGAGTGTTTGCTGTCTTTGGCGCGAGAGCTTGCGAGGAGGCGAGAGGAAGAGATATTGATTTGGAGTTGAGGCAAGGATACCCTCTACATGTTTATGCATTCATCACGGCGTAACTTGGGTAGGCACAGGCACAGCTTTGGAGAGGCCTAGCATTCACTTAACATGCGCAATACCAAACTTTTATACGTTGATATATTGATCTCAGTGCCTTTCGACTCCAATTATTCATGATGATTTGAGAATGAGAAGTCCGGATATCGATCGGTGCTCGCCGCACGGCATTCCTCAACCGGCGCAGGGCGCGGTCACAGGGCGCTCACCGAACCTCGGCAAAACATCAAACAACCCCGCTGCGATGATCTAGTCCGCAACACACCTCATGACTTTGAGCTAGCCGGACAGGCTGTTCCCCGGGGATCTTCTAATGTCTACATTCATATTTTCACGGTGCATTCGCGCGCGGTCAAATTCATCAATACTCTCAATCCGATTCACGAATTCGCGCTCAATTGCGACCGGAAGCTCGACCCGAAGGCCGACGAGTCCGAATACGCCGCCACTCACAACAGCCACATTTCATTTCGAAGGCGCGACGGGCGTAGCAATCATGTCACAAAAGCGGGCATCCTCTTCATCAAAGGAGAAGAAGGAGGTCCAGGCGCCGCGGCCGAGTTCAAGGTACGCCGCAACCCTCGCAAACCGACCCAACAGGCGCGCGCTAACCGGGCACCAGCATCCTCCTCCTCTCGCCGACGAACCAGGTCCTGCTGCTCCACCGGGTGAAGACGTCTACGTCGTTCGCCTCCGCGCATGTCTTTCCCGGCGGGAACTTGGACGCGTTCCACGACGGGGAGGTTCCTGCGCCCGAGGCGCGGGGGAGGCATGAGGACGGGCCTGCGTATCGGCTTGGTGCGATTCGGGAGTGTTTTGAGGAGACGGGGATTCTGCTTGCGACGAGGAAGGGAGCGGTGGCGGGGGGTGAGGCTGCGCTGGTGAACTTGTCATCTGCGGATAGGGACGTTGCGAGGAAGCGGATTCATGGGAATGAGGTGAGGTTTGGGGAGTGGGTTGAGAGTGTTGGGGGTGTTCCGGACGTTGGTATGTGGTCCTGTTTCCTGTCAATTCATCTCACATCGACAAATCCTGCAAGGCTGTGGTCTGCAACCTCTTAAGTGGAAGCATCATCGTCATGCTGAAGTATACGCTGGCAATGCGTCAGTGTAGCATAGCCATCTTTGACTGGCAAATGGATGATGCAACAGCTCACTGACAAGCGCAACAGATCGCTTGTTGGCCTTCACGAGATGGGTCACCCCAACCAACGTTCCCAAACGCTTCACAACGCAGATGTACATCTACATGCTCCCGCACTCTGCCTCAACAGGCGCCAAGGCCGCGGAGCACGAGATCATCGTGCCGACGCCGGACGGGGGCGTGGAGCACACGGCCGCCAAGTTCGACGACGCCTCCGTATGGCTCTCCCGCGCCGACAAGGGCGAGATTATCCTCTTCCCGCCGCAGTATTACCTGCTCTTCCTCGTCGCGCAGTTCTGCAAGGGCTCGTCAAGCGGGGCCGGCGTCGAGCACTTCGCGGCGCAGCGGGAGCAACTGAAGGAGTTCCTGAAGCGGATCCCGACGGCTGAGTCGGAGGCAGCGAGGAAGCAGCCCACGTCGGAGATCCCCTGGGCGGACAAGGTCATGAGCCCGCATAACCTGTTCATCCGCGAGGAGGACAACCGCGTCGTGCTCGGGATCGATAAGCCGGGGCCGGAGCTCAAGGGCTCGGGGCGCGGGGGCGACTGGGAGAGGGTCGTGTTAGTCAAGTTCACGCGCGAGGGCCCGCGCAAGGTCGAGGTTCGGGGGCGGGAGGAGGTCTTGAGGGAGGAGAAGGAGGCGAAGAGGGCGAGAGAGGAGTCGGAGAAGTCGAAGATCTGAGCTGACGGGCTTCGGACGTGCGCTATCGATTGATGTTCCTGTCTTGCAGACGTTAGAGATTCAACAGACAAAGATGAATAGATGGAGGTTCTCTTCAAGAGATGTAGTCTCTCGAAAGTGCAATCTTGCTGACAGCTTGGAGAAACCAACAACACTGTCAGCAGTTCCAGCCTAGTCCAGCCCTACGCATCGACACCGCCCCCAACACACAGTTGCCGTTCGCATTTCCACGTTTCTCTCTTCTCTCCTCCTGAATTAAAGACCTGAAAACCGAACGATCGGAAGGATGAGATGTGACCGACAGTAAATAGGAACCGAATGTGCAAAAAAGGCGAACTGCCTCCTGCACAGTACTATTCAAAAGCGACCTTGCTTTCCGGGTATGACTCGTGGTCCTCCCCCCTCACACCCACCACCAAAAGGACTGCACTTTCACAGCAAACTAAGCTCCTCGAACTTCGAGGAGCTTCAGGATCTGGGGTGTCCGCTCAACCCCGAAAGATGCGGCTGTGCGGCTCTGCTCAAAGACTGGTGGGCCGTGGCTACAGAGACGGAAGGCGAGGAGGAAGAGGCCCAGGGATTCTGGGAAGGTCACAGCGAAAGTGTGCGCTGGAATCACATCTTGTTGGAGCGGCCTCTTCAGAAGCAGCCACGCAGCAGCTAACCGGACATGGATGCAGACGTCTCCGTGGCCGCGTCCTGGGCCGGCCTTGGGTGGTGTTGGTAGAGTGTGATTCCACACCAATCCACCCCGGGCGGCCACTCACTTCTTCTTTCTCTCATCACCCAACCCACTCTTGTCCTTTTTCATCACTTCCTCCACTCATCAAATCTCCCATCCCTCCACACCGTTCGTTCTGCTTGCCCTTCTCGGGTTCGAACCCGTTCCCGCAGCCGGTGAACCATTGGCCTTAGATATGGCGAGTCGTGATGATCTGACACCTAAAGCCACCCGCGCGGGGCTTGGTTGGTTAGACGAATCTGATGGGCGCTGTCCACGAGGCTATTCTGGGCGAAGTTTTGATGTTTCCTAGCTATCTTGAAGCAACAACCCCCTCTATTCCCCCCACGTGTCAGTAACCTTTCGCATAAGAGCATTTCGTTCTCGCTTCCTGACTGGCGTGGCTTGAGGCTCTTCTTGCCGTTAGGGGAGGGCGCCCATGGGCTGAACTGTGTCTTTGATGCTGGTGTCCATGACTCTCTTTATCCCTGATCCTCGTCCGGAAGATTTCACCACGTCGACACAATTTGCAGCCCGTCCCGCATCACCACGTACGTGGCATCGGACTTGAGTGTTATCCCGACTCAAATATAGTCTCGTGGACAGTTTATCAGACCATGATGACGCCTCCTGCCGATGGGAGACGGTGTGCGGCGCTCTCTCGACATGAATAGCTCCAATTTTGCCATCCGTGCCTATCTTGAAGCCAATCTCTCGTCCCAGGAACCCCTCATCTGATTACAATTGATGACCAATCCAGCCGGTGTATTCATCCCCGTGGGGGACTATCTCACGGAGCTCGGTTTGGGACACAATGGCTTTGGCGGTGAAGCCTCATCGCCATTCTCGCGACGGCCACGACGAGGACGACGTCACGGACGGAAACACGGCCCCGAGCATGACCGAAAGAAGCGGATCAAGGTTAGTTTACAGGAAGCTCACAGGGAGAGAACACTCGGGTACCCAGACCGATCATTTTCTTCAGTAAAGTGCAAAAATGACGAATGCTCGAAACCGGAAACAATCACCTGCCGAAGGAACTCAACGGGGACCGATGCCACGCCAGGGTAACCCTTTCGATGCTCTAGGGGAGACCGACGCCGTAACTCCTACCCTGTAAGGCTAATCGCCGACCACCTCGAGCACAATGTGCCAATGCTGCAAGACTTGTGGCGTACGGAGTATCTTCTATGTGTGTAGACATCGCGGAGCGGGGAAGCTGCAATGTTATATCACACGTGGTCCTGATTGGAGGGCTTGTTTGACCCTGATGCATCTATATGGGCCCATGGGGTTGCTTCATGCAAGAGCAGCATGTACTATGTATTCGGCATCCTTGGCTAAAACGGTCGCCAGCCAGGATTCCCAGGATGGATGTGGGCCATGTTCCTATGTATGATGGGTATACGAACCGAGGACTGAACAAAGTTCACAGTGACGAGAGCCTGATTATCAGAGACAGTCTACATTAGACAGTTTAAGCGCCATTGTCGTGGACGTGCCGTCCCATGCCGTCCCGAGTGCCATCCCGCGCATCGTGGCCACATCCGGTAGGCAGGGGTGAGCAGATGACGGACGACGGATGGGTGTCGGAAATCAGACGGAAGGCGACAAGCAAAAGAAGAAGGTTGACTCCGAGGTGATAGCGGAGTGCCACCTCACATGCCAACAAAGGGGATTTCCACCCAGAGCCTCAATAATTGGAGACTCGAGCTCTGTCATCGTCTGTGGTTGGGTAGATTCTCATGGCAGATGATACGGGATCCCTGGACGGTCGGAAGGGAGTATCGGCTTCCTGGCCTTCGCTCCGCGAGCAAGGGTGTTGGGCTAGAGTATGCGGTCGGATTGCTGTGAAGGGGGACCCTAACTCTAGCGCATGCCAGCTGACCCCACGAGCGAGGATACTATCTCATGGATGGGTGAAGATGGGAGCAGTAGCCGAGAGGGACAACAAGATGTTCACTAATATGCATCGGCAGATGTTGTTTACATTCTCTGGGCAGAAATTATAAATACCCCTGAATAGTAACCATCAGAAGGTAGAGCTTTCGACACAAGCAGCATCGAAGCTGGGCTTCTTGAAACACATACTGCATAAAAGACAATTCCGAACTCTCTCGTTCAAAAACTCACGTCCTGTCTTCCTTCTCTTGAAATACATCATGGCTGACAGGTAAGCCGTTTCATCAAGACGTATGATCACGGTCACTAACCACGATCTAGTACTTCGCCGAGCCCGATGCTTGACATCTACATCAAGGACACCACTAGTGTTCCTGATAGGCTTCAGAATGGTGGCAAGAAGTGAAACAGCGTTCGCTGGTAGTCAACATGCGCACCTCTTCTATTGTCCTTCAAGGCGGATGGCGGTATTGAATGCGCCTGGTGGGGGCTTGAGATTTCGAGGAGGCAGTAAGGGCTTGTTTGATACCCCACTTTGGAGATGAAATATCTTCAAGTACTAGTGTTGATTACCTTCGGGTCAATATGTTGTTTCAGTTCTTCCTGTCCGATTGGCTGGGAAGCTGGGGTTGGACTCAGGACATACAGAGTAGCTGCTGGACTGCGTTTGGATGAGTTTCATTGCTCACCATATTACCTCGTATACGCTCCTTAAATTGTGGCGCTAGAAGCACCAAGACTCACAGTAACAATCCAACACAGAAGATCTCTCGTTGAAATCTTAAGCTATACTTTACTCTCCGCGTAACCAGAGTGGATGGTCTGAACCAACTTCAGGAGATTTCAGCTGACACTCTAGCTGTGGCGATTACATGTACGATAGAAGCGAGCTTGAAAATCATTGGCAAGGCTTATGCGGAACGATCCTTCTTTGAGGCTCTGCAGGAAACAAGGCCTGTAATGTAGTATAAAATATGCACGTATCTGCCATCCTCAACCCCTGATCCTCGTCAGACATGTACGTCAAACCTGTACGCGATCATCTGCCCTATCTCCCGGCCGTAGCTCGTGTACCCTTCCAATCGTCTGGTTCATCTTGATACCGCTGTTGTTACGTGGCCTGCGGCATGTTGGTATTTACGAGGTGTCGTGGTCTAGGACGATTCGTATCATGCCATACTGACGTTTGTTCGGTCAACTAGTTACACCTGAACGCCTCGAAGGCGATACCCAAAGTAGTAATCGGAGGTACAGCGTCTTTATATGGAAGGTAACGACTCAACCCATGAGTCTTGGCGTGTCAAGCTGAAGCTATGACCTGAAGTTTGCTGCTTGTTTCCCCGCGTCGAGCTGCCAAGCTCGGGTCTGCTACCCGTGCCATGCTTGGCGATGCTATCCACAATACCTCCCATCTAACAACAACACAACACGAAGCTTATTGACTGCTGAAAACGCATCTCGGGGATTGATCGCGAGCTCCCGAATAAAACCATTGCGCGAATAACTCCCGAGACGAAGATCAATACGCCACATTGCGGGACTCTCGATCACACACATTGATCAACACGCATTGCCGCAAATCACTGAAGAAATGACGAGCTCCCTCGCGAGCTTCAGCTACATGTACATCACCACACCACCCCGTCAGCTCCTCTCGAGCATCACTCAACCTGTAATCTCACGCAGAACGCAGAGATGGAGCATGGTTGTACCCTGATCCACGACGCGAGACCGGCGGGCTACCTCCATGATACGCACATATGTTGGAAACTATTGTCTGCATTCCCCCCACAAGCGAGTCGCTCGCACACCGCATCCCTCAATGCGAGCAACCTTGCCTCTACTTTCACTGCAAAATCTGAGCGGTGCCACGAAGTCTGTATGCAGTCTCATATGCAAGAGAGGCATGGATGTGGGGGTGATTGGGCCTTGGTGAGGGGCGCTATGTATGTTGCGCTGTTGGCTGCAAAGCCTGCATGTAAATTGACCAGGGAGAAAGACCGGGGAGAAAGTCCTCATCGAGAGAGCGAGAGGGGTGGTTTCTACACACCTTCGTCTGGCAGAAGTCAAAACGAAACGGTTTAATCTCTGGCCCATCCTTTCTCGATGAAGAATCCCGGGAGGGGGGAGGGCGTGTCGTAGAGCCTGAACTCGGAATGTCGTTGGATGAGCTCGCCGTGTGCGCGCGCGTCGTCGGCCCCGCTGAGAGACGAAAAACGGCACGGGGTGAATCGTCCGTCACGGCGACTGGACGAAGCCCGACCGAGTCGCGAGGATGACCGCAGGCAGAGCCTCATGTTTGGGGTGGGATTTGCGTCCGGTTGGTCGGCTTCGTTGTTTTGGCCTTGGTTTTGTCGTGGATTGTGCCGGGTCTCATGAGGTTTGGCCCGCTTTGGGGGTGGCCCCCTCGGCTCGATTCTGGGTCTGATAATGGATCTCCGGCGTGGTATTGGGTACGGATACGGGGTCGGGATTTTGCTGTGAAAGTGGGAATGGTGTCAGTTGCGTTCCGATGGAGCAGGTGACCAGCGGAGAGCTGCGTGGTATGGAGCGAGAAACGTGGCAGGGTACGATATCCGAGAGGAAGTTCCTGATCATGGAAGTTTTGAGTATAAATACCCCCTCAACCTCATCTTGAGATTGTGAAAAGGTAACTGAAAGTTGGAGAACCCCGTCGCCGATTAATCGCAGTCAAGCATTCTTCGCCCTCTGCATCTATCGATTTTGCTGCCCACCAATCTGTTTCAGACCTCGTGTCATCAGCTGTCACTATGAACAAGAACACTTACTTTGACGTCTTCGTAAATGGGTAGGCAAAGATCCCATGCAAAATCTTGCTTCGGGGGCTAATGATATAACAGCAGTGAACCGGGCATGCTTGATGTCTACCTCAACGACACGGGCAATGTCCAAGATCGCCTCTTGAACCCTCAACCACCCCCGCCTCCCCCTCCACAGCCTTCGCAATGAACGGGGGAAAGATTCATGCACCTGGAAGCAAGTTTTCTGAAGCTATACACACCTCAATAACGGATGAATCTCCAACGACACATGAAAGCAACAGAAACCATTTCGATACCCCTTGGAATTGGCGTTGAGTGGTGGCGTTTTCCTTTTGAGCTGCTTTGTTTGGGAGCCAACTGAGATTCTCAGTTGAGCTGTGGGACAGATGATGGCGATGACATGTACACTTTCGTAGCTGATGCTTGGAGCTTTTGAATACATCCTACTTGAACAACATTTTAGCACTTTTGAACTGAGCTTTTGACTCATAGGGACAGTGAATGAGATTCATTGTTGGCATGAAGAAGAATGGAGAAGACTGTATAAGGATGTGGTAAGTCATAAAGACCTGGTGCTATTCTTTGTGATGTCTTCATTACTGAGCAAAGCCGACCAACACCCTTTCCTTGTGCGTATCCATGCCCTTGTTCGTCGCTTGTCGTCATTAGGTGGTCGTCTCCGTGAAAAAGACATCCTGTCTAGTGCGAGAGAAAACCAGCACCACCATTCTTGATGCCCAACTCACGCATCTTCATGGCAAGGGCATCCTCGAGCTCCGACTGAGCAGCTTTCTGGGCCTCGGCGAACTCTCTAGCCTCCTTGGGGCTCATTAGTTCACCCTCCTTATCATCCTCCTTGCCCTTTACCCAGTCGGCGCGCTCCTTACGGCGGATCTTGCCCATCATTCTCTCGAGCTGCTCGTTGGTCCAGTCGGCAAAGAAGGTGTCAGGCTTCTCATCAGGCTTCTCTTGGAGAAGGACGTCGATGGCCTTTGCGGTATGAGTCTCCTCGTCGTAGGCGATGGGATGCTGGCGGTATCCCGAGAACTTGATGGCGAGGCGGCGCGCCTCGTAAAGGCGCATCATGACCTTGGCCGGGACAGTGGGCTTCATGTACCTCAGAGCGGTCTTGGTCCAGTTGGCCTTGCGGGCGGCGGCGATGAAGGTTCCGGCAGTGCCATCAGTAGCCGCCATGTGAGGCGCAAGCTTGGTGGCCTTCTCGAAGAGCTCGGCCATGGCGGCGTCGACGGCGCGGGTGTCGAGGTTGGGAGTGACGGCGTGCAGAGCGTTCTTGAAGGCAATAGTCTCGTTCTGGTCGTCAAGGTACTTCACCTCCTGATTGGTGGGGTCGCGGTACATCTCGAAGCCTGCGCCGGAAGGCAGTATCTTCTTGAGCGTCTTGGACTTGGACTTGGTCTTCTTGGTCGCCGTCTTCTGGGTATTGTCGGCGGCGACGGCGGGGACGCCAGAGACGACGGGAGGGAGCTCTTGAGCCTGAGACATCGTGTAGGATTCTACTGTACGGTCAGATATTGTCGAAAGTAGCGAGTAAAGCAGAATGAGGCAAGTCTTGGATTTGTGGGAGAGAATGGGGGTTGAATAGTGGAAGAGTCACATCGCGCGGACGGGATTCACTTTGCGATCGATAAGAGACGTTGATCGTAAAGCTGAATAGAATAGACTGGAAGAAAGGACGGACAAGAGTAATTCAGACGTTGACTTACGTGGTTTAGGTGATGAGGCAAGATTGTAAGCTGGTTGATTGTGTTGTGAAGTTGTGAGGCGACGAAGTGGGTTGTGTGGTTGTCGGGGGGGAAGGTTTGTGAGTGGTGGGTGGAAGCGATGGAAAGTGAGAAGATCTGAAAAGTTTTCACTGCTTCTCGTCTGATGATTTTTAAAGTAGGAAAGAACGACGTCAAAGGGTAGCAAGAGGTGAGATGGAGGTGAGCCAGCGTCAGGGACTAGGTAGGTGAAGCGTGGGTGAATGAGCAACTCCCGACGGGTAGACAAGGACGACGGCGACGGCAACGACGCGTCAAGACAGAAACGCGTCAAGTCCTTCTCGTTTTGAGAAGGAAGCATTTGCCTTCCTTTCTCACCTTCGACTTCACCTTCGCCCTCTCAACCTGAGGCTGGCCCCCTCACCCTTCTTTATCCAAACAGTGATGCCTGGTTGTCACCAGAGCGGCCGGGTGGCCTGGAGGGTGATACCCTCAGGTTATCTCTGACCAAGATATTGGACTCTTCGTGTTCGATTCCCGGTCGCTGCGCAAAAACCACCTTAACCACTGGTGTACGTCGGATGTGGTGAGAGCCTTCGTCTAATGTGCATCTTTAGATAGCGGTCTCTTGTGTTCGAAAGCCTTTAATGCTGCGGGCGCTGGGGACCCGGTTTCGGCGCTACGAGCCTGGAAATTCTTTGAAAACCTTCCTCTGATCAATTCAGAAATTCTTTTTTTTGCATTTTGTTCAATTGTTTTCTGACTTTTTGACATGATTATTTTGGACGTGTGTAGCGATATTTCTTCGCGCGATCAATAATTGAATTGACACATGCTAGAACGCGATAATGAAAATCAACAACTTCGAATTGAACATAACACTGATTAACACGCTGACACATACGACGATTACGATCCTCCGCCGCACCCTCCTCCTCCTCCTCCACAACCGCCTCCACTTATCATAACAACTGATCCTGCATATGCTCCGCAACCTACACATCCTGTTAGCGACAGCAACAGACATTCTTCGAACAGATCTCGACGTACCGCCCATCTGGTTTGGAGTTCTCCCAGCCCATACTCCCTACAACCCAGTCAGTAAATCTCCAAGTCCATCCATGGCTGCGAAACTTACATCCGAGGTGGAACACCCACCCGGCCCGCCGCACCCCCCGGCCGCGATGTCATTGCTCCCACACAACCCCTGAGCGCAGCCCGCCCAGCTTCCCGTTCCAGCATGCATGATCCCCGGGTCGGCCGCGATGTAGATGCCCGCGGTGAGGTGCGCCGGGTACATGTTCGGCCCGTAGCGGTGATACGTGCTGCCCCAGTGGTTGTAGTACTCCTCGGGCTTGGGCAGCTTGACGCCCTTCTTCGACGCGCGCTTCGCGGCCCGCTCGTACGCGCCGTCCATGCGGTGCTTGCAGATCTGCCGCTGCTGGTAGCGCAGGGCCTTGCGGCCGCCGTTCTCTTTCGAGAGGACGGCGTTGTGGGCGGAGATGTGGACTTCGGCGCCCGGGGCGGAGGGCTTTGCGGAGGCGTTGAAGTTGTCGATTGCTGTGTGGAGTTAGACTTTCAGTCCACGAAGACGAAGAAAGGGGGAGATGGGTGGAGGTTACTTTTCTGTTGTTTTGTGCGCCCAAAGATGCTCGAGTCGTTGATGGTGTGGTTTGTGCGAATAACTGTCATGTGTCAACTTCAAAGCGGCATGCCAAAGGAAAGGGGGAGGCGCTTGACATACTATCACACCACCCACAAACGCACTCGGAGTACACCTCCCCGAACTTGTCCAGATACGTCCTGCTGCTCCACTCGAACGCCTCCGTCAGCCGCTCCTCGTCGATCTTGTCGTTGTGGTCGATGAACCTGGCCTCCTTGGTCCCCGTGGTCGCCGAGTTGAAGGTGCTGAATTTGTAGTACGCCCGCGGGGCCAGCTGGTGCGTGTGCCACGCGAGATCGACGTCGAGGGTCGGGACGCAGAGGGAGTAGGGGTTCTCGGTCATGATGAGCATGAAGCGGCTGTATTTCTGGAGCAGGCGGTCCATGGTGCCGCGCTGGTTGGGGCCGTGGAGCCAGTCGATCTGAAAAGGATGGTCAGTAAATAATACTCTTGTGCTAACTCAGTCAGGGGTTCAACTCACATTGTACATCTTCTCTACAAATACACCCTGCCGCACCGTAGCTCCAACAAGATCCAGCGCGAAGATGGAGTAATTATCCCAGTACCGCGACATCATCTTCTTGCTCTGCACACGCTCCGTGCGCGAGAGGACCTTATTATACGGCTTCTTGTCCAGCTCCTGGATCCGCCCGTACGCGTCGTTGTCCTCCAGCGCCGCCGCAATAATATCACGAACGTTTTCCATCGTGGGTGGCTTCTGCAGCCCCGGCCGGACGAGCTTCCTCAGCTCCTCAATCACCCCGAAGCCCAGCAGGCGGTTGGGGAATGTCGCCTCTTTGAAGGTCTGGCCCTGGGGCGCGTGCCCGTCGGCCTGCGGGATGGGCATGCCGACCTTGGGCTCGAGAACGGCGCTGGGGACAGTGTAGTTGTCGGAGAGGTAGTGCTCTGCGTCGCTGAGCATCTTGGCCACGGAAAGGAAGCGCCGCGTGATGACGGTGTTGCAGCCTGCCGTGCAAAGCTGGAAGAAGTCTCCGTCGCCAAAGCCCTTGCCGACGAGACCTGGCTTTCTGGGTGCCGTTAGTAGGCGGTGAATGGGGTGAATTGAGAGGGACTTACGCTTCGCCCTTGTAGAGCTCGGGCAGGCCGCAGGTGGTCCATGGAACTTCTATGGTCTCCTTGCAGACAGGGCATTCCATGTACTTCGCTATGGGCTCTGCGACGTTATCCCATGCTCGCCCAGTGCTGGCTTCCCAGTTCGCTCTGGCTGCATCCGTGGCGATGTAGTTGAACTTGGCATCGATGATCTTGTTGACTTGAGCCCATGGCATGCCCGTTGTCCAGAACGTCTTCATTCCGTAGCGTATCGTATCCTCGAGGAAAGCTCTCGGGTTGAGCATGTGCGCGTGCCAGATCATGAGAACATCTGCACCTGTGAGTCACGATATTGTTTAGGAGGAAAGCGATCCAACTCACCCAACGGGGGAAGGATATCCACAGTCCATGGGAAATCATCCCCGCCATCCGGAAACTCGAGATACTTCTCCGACTTGATCTTCATGTCCTCCTCTTTCAGCCGCTCCCCGGCCAACGTCATCCACCAAGTCTCGTACCGATCAACCGCGCGCGCCAAGAACACCGCCCAGCGCTTCTCGCGTAACTTCGAGAGCACATCCTTGACATGGTCTTCCGACTTCTTGCTCGACCCGGCCTCTTCGCTGTCCGGCTTCGGCCCGGCCCTCGTATCCCAGATCTCCCACAGCCCATTGGTATACCCAACCTCCTCCTTTAGCGTCTGAATCGCAAACAGAAGTTTCAGATGAGCCAGGCACGAGTCGACATCTGGATCGCGCTGCGTGCCCAGCCTTAACGATGAAAATGCAGCCGTCAAGTTCGCGACCTCAGCCTCGGTTGGTCGCGGCCGCGCGCCTCCCTTGGACCCGTTGATGGACTCAAACGACGGCGGCTGGTCCTCGAACGCGGGCGGCTCGGTCTGCGCATCCTCGTATGTGGGAGGCGGCGTGGCGGCGCGCTCCGCCTTGGCCTTTTCGGCCTCGGCCTCTGCCTCTTTCTCCTTCTCCTTCTTGGATCTCTTGAAGAAGGAGGGCATCGCCGCTTTGCTTAACAGTGGGACCTCTCTAGTGGGGTGACGATGTATGGGGGAGATGAGGGTTGGGGAATGCGGGGTTGGATTGGGGCTGTGAGACGTCGAATGATGATTCTTAAAAGTCCAACCGTTTTGGCGGACATCAGATGAACTTCATGGAGACACGCGATTGCTTTTAAGCATAAACCCCAGGCCTTCTAGAACAACCGAGGGAGAAGAATGCCTTGGCCAGCATCTGAGACTTTTCTGACGTGTCCTGTAAGCGCCTCGTCCCCCATCGTGGATTCATTCGTGGGACCGTCAGCAGATCAGCTGGTAAACATGTCTTGGGCGACTAGGCAGACTCGTGAATTGCGGCACAGCAACACCACACCCCAGATATTCCCTCTTGGCGGGCGGAAAGCAGCTTAGCGCCCGCCACCACAAAGCTTCGAGGACCCGTCGAGGTGGTTCATCTCGGGCGAAGTCACCCATCCTTCGCGAGGGCCATTGGCCAATCGGCAGGGTTGCGGAACGTAAGCAATCGGGTAGCTCGTAAGCTTGTTGGAGTGGCATCTCGGACTCTTTTATCGCTCACACGCAAGGGTGCCGCTTCTCCAAATTACGGGGGTCAGGCGACTGCAGGATTGGATCGTTTTGAGGCCCCCTGACTGCTTCTGGTCCCTGGGTCGGTGAGCTCTTAACATCGTGATTGGAAAACGTCATTCATTGTGCGTGTTCATCCTGCCCGTCTTACCGAGATACCGCCCAGCCAGTGTCACAATGCGTGCAACATCATGAGCGTTATTGGTTTCAGAAACAGACGGCTCAGCCACTTTTCACATTGCAGGGACAAGTAGGCACCATCAAGTTGTAATTCAACCGTCTTTTTTTATCCTATCCTTCCTCTTACAGCTTCCTCCATTCCATTCTCATCGTCCTTTAGAAGACAAAGTTCTCAGCAACGCCCTTGACCAGGTTCTGCGCAAGTAGCTTGTGGATAGCAAGACCGGCGTGGTAGTTGTCCGCCCAGATGCAGTCGCTGGAGCCGTAGCAAGTCGCATCCTTGGCACCGTACTGCGCAAAGTTCTCAACAACAGTATCAAAAGAAGGCTTGGTGTCGAAAACAAGGCCCTTGACGCCGCTGTTAGCAGACTTGAAGGTAGCCAGGCGGGTGGTGAGCTCAGAGTTGTAGGAGCTGATGTCGTCGCGCAGGCGCTGCAAATCCGTCTCGCTCTGGCCGATCATGGCGGGGATCTGGTCGGAGAAGGGCGGGACCGAGAGCAGCACAAAGTTCTTCAGCCCGTCGTCGGCGAGCGCCTGCAGCAGCTCGAAGTAGCGGTCCATGATCTTGGCGACGGGCGCGGACTCCTTGTCCCAGAAGGGCTCGCCGACGTCGTTGATGCCGATCCACACGGCGACGAGCGCGTTGGCCTTGTCGGTCACGGCGGCGGAGACGTACTGCTTGTACTGGTCGACCTGGTCGTCGACGCAGTACTGCGCGTACGTGTCGACGATGTCCTTGTCGGTGGTGGCGCCCGTGACGGCGAAGTCGTAGGTGAGGACCTGGCTGGTGTTGAGGGTGCTGGTGAGGTGGCCGACCCAGTTGAGGCCGCTCGAGGTGGTCTGGCCGGGCAGCGCCGGGTTGCCGAGCGGGTTGCCGGCAGCGGGGAGGGTGCCGCCGGGCCAGAAGCCGACGGTGGAGTAGGAGTCGCCGCTGGATCTGGGGTCAGCTGTGTGCCGGCATGCAGAGTGTTATGATCATGGAGGTGTCTTACAAGACGATCAGGCTCTTGGAGGAGCTGTTGGCCTGTCTCGGGGTGACGGCGGCGCCGCGGCTGACGTGCCAGGTAGGGCTGGCAAAGGACAGGGACAGGCCGGCTGCGAAAGAGAGAGCGGTTGCGAAAGACTTCATTTTGTCAAGAGGGGTCGGGTTGAAATGATATGTACCAGCAAATGAATATCAACAAGAAACGTAGAATTGAAGAAAGAACGTGAAGAGAAACGATAGTCAGACCAACGAGAGACTCGGACAATATCCAGAACAAGAGCCAAAAAGAGACGGTCCAAGTGGGATGGCGCCGGCGCGACATACATATTATATGAAGCCCGTCCATCCCCCCATCCCAAAACCTAGACAGAACGAAAGGCCAAAAATCACACCAAGCAAACAGGGAGGAAAAAGGTCTTCGTCACGGCTCGTTTGCAGTACATTGAGTACCCCATCCACGGGCGCGCCGCTATTCGCCGTGATTGGTGGAAGAGTCGCCCGTGGCCCGGGCTTGGGCGGTGCAACCCCCAAAAGGGGCGAGATTGCAGGCGCTCCGCTGGGGCGTGCGGGGCCGCCGTCTCCCTTTTTTGCGCAGCCGATGTCGACAGATGAGCAGATCGCGGCGCGTGGAGAGCCGTTCACAGCGATGCTTCCGTCTGCCTGTGGCCCGAAAGAGCCTGCTGGGTTCTCGAATAGGAAGTTTCCAATTTTGGAAGTTTTTGTCTTTTGGAGGCTCTTTGGGAGTTGACGATAGAGGTGATGGGCATCATCCGAATATGCCGACAGCAACACCAGATCTGAAGAGACCCGGCAAACCGGACAAGAGTCGAATCAACTTGTGTTATGGTGGTCTCCTTAGAAAGACATGCAGCTCGTGTTTAAACGGTTGAACAGGTGCATCTCCTGTAACTTGGTTGTTGAAGACTTGTGCTGGTCTCGATACACTGACCAGCTTCACTCAAAACAACCTTGACGAGGATAATTCACAAGACGGTGTTCTTTTATGTAATCATAGAAGACCCTGCCATATTTCCTCATATCTATGTACCAAGAATGAAATAAAATATCTACAATTGAAGAATCATTTAACACCTTCCTGTAAACTTAGAAGGCAGGATCGGCGTTCTTGATCAACATCTCAAAGTACTCCTGGAACCAAGTACCAGCCTCTGGCGCAGGAGTAAACGAAGATCCCGAGCTACACTTCTCATCGTAACGCGTCGCCGAAGAGTTACTCGTGCCGTCACTCTCGCCGCCAGGCTTGACCCACACAATCGCATCCAGCGTGTCAATACCCGTCTTCACTGTCGGCCGCGCCCCGAAGCCCGCGTCCTTGACGTTGCACCAGTCGCCCCAGATCTGCTGACCCGTGGGCTGCTTGCCGCTGCGGCCCTGGTCGACGAGGTAGTTGGCGGGGTACCCGGCCGTCTTGAGCATCGGCGTGAGCGCCGCGTGGAACTTGCTCTCGTCGTAGTTGTTGTTGGGCGTCGTGTACGAGGGCGCGGACGTCAGGTTCCAGCCGTTGAAGTTGGAGACGTTGGTCACAAGGCCGCGGACCGCCTTGGGGGAGCCGGCCTTCTTGTATACGTCGGCATAGAGGGTCGCGGTGGGTTGGAGGTTGGCTTCCCAGCCGAGCCAGCCGGCGTGGCCTGCGTCGACGTAAATGGCGACGTTGTCGAGATTGAGCGTCTTGAAGGCGTAGTCGGTGGCGGCCTTGTAGGTGTCCGCTGCCTGGGAGCACTTTTGCACGCCCATGTTGGTGATGAGGTTGGCCAGTCCGTCGGGTTCTGGTTGATGTAAGCATATGATCTGCTGAGATATTCATGAACAGAGACATACCGTAAACAAACACAATACGGGTGTCGGAGTACTCCTTAGCGAGCGCGGCGATAGGGTCAATGTACTCCGTCTTGTACTTGTCAAGACCGCCATCAGCAATGGCAAGCTCTCCGGCGGAAGCCTTGGCCGAGCAGTCACGGTCAGGGAAGTTGTAAACGACGTAGGTACCGGCGTAAGGAGGGTTCGCGCCGCCCTGGTTCAGCTTGCGGATCTCAGCAAGAGTGCTGTTCATCAAGCTGATCTTCTCGCGAGTATCGCTTTGTGGGTGTTAGTTAGCTTGTCCAGATGATCCATCCAGCATTGCGAGAACTTACAGCCAGGCAAAGGAGGGGACCTCGGCGACCTTGGCCGCCTTCGTGGCGAGGTCGCCGGTCATCTTGGGGATGGCGAGGTTCTTGATCTCATCGGCGTAGTAAGGGTTGGGAAACAGCTGCCTGTCGGCGAGCGGGTTTCCGTCGTAGGAAGCTACTTGGCGGGCCTTGACGGGTCCGGCGAGCGCGGCCGGCGCCAGAGCCGCGGCGAGGAGGAAGTGGGCGAGCATGTTGAAAGGTTCAAGACAAGATAAGGCTGGGTATCGAAGAAGAGAAAACGAGTGTCGTGCCTGCGATCAGTAACTGGCTTTTGCGCGATGAAGCTGGACTACAATCCTCCTCTCTCACCCTGGACCGGACAACCTCGTCCTCTTATACAACACTTCGCATCCCGCCAAGCTGGAGAGAAGGCCCTGATTCCGAACACTCAACTCCGCCGCAGCCGTCAAACAAGGTCTCAAGGGTCGCCCCGGGGTTAAACACGCCGGTCCTTCATCTTAGACGGCATCCCCAAGGATGGCGGGACGATCTCTGCGGTTTACCGTCGCCCAGCGTTCTGAGGTTACTTTTTCGGCCGTGTGAGATACAATGCGGCCGGGGCTCTGCCGGCGGGGATAATGCTGGGAACACGGCCGAGTGGCATTGGCGCCGAGCCGTCCTGTGCCTGGGACGTTGCTGCTTTGGGGAAGTTCGGGGGTTTGGACAGCTGTTCTTGGCCACTCAACGTGGTACGGAGCCGCTGCCTCCGAGAAATCCACGTGAGCGCATGTTAACCCCAGGGATTCGTCGGCAGTGCTGCCCGCCTTATTAGCTACCCCGGGCCCACCGAGTTCGGATGACAACATTCGACCAGAAGAAAACTGCGCAGCGTGAATGGCAATTTGGGGGCCGCCAGATTGATTAAGGGGAGAATTGCAGTCCAGGCACGCTGGGCTGTTTCGTATGGGTGCCCTTGTCCGCGGTGGTGTAACTCTGAAAGTTGGGGAAAACCTTAGTTTCGACGGAACAGAGTGAGGGGGAAACTCGGAAGAGCGCAATGTGTTTTGAGAATGATCTGGAAGTGGGGGACCGGAGGCCCATAGGAGAACCTCGAGTCAATAGCGAAGCGAACTGTATTTCCGAGACGGATGGATGAAGTCTGATTTGCCAAGTAATTGCTAAAAGGCGCAGTCTGATGCGATGTCAGGGGGGAGGTCTGCTGATGGTTTGGCTGAAGTCATGAGCCGCAGCATGCGATTGAAAGCGCTAATTACCAAATGAATGTCGGGGAAACGAATGCATCACACCAGACTGCCGTCGTCCTATTTCTTATTCAACATTATCGGATCGTCCATCCGTTCGGACGGGCACTAAGCCCACATTTTACCCTCCATGATCGACATGTTCATAAGTGTGCACGGGACGCTCGCGATGCCGTGCGGTTTTTGTGGGAACGCGAACCCATGTTTTGATATTAGGAAGAAGAAACTTGTGCTAAGACTGACGGCGATGTGGCCCTCGATTCCGGATACCAAGTCTTGGTCTTTCCTTGTGAACCAGACTCGTGGCGCTGGGCATGGAAACCCAAGAACCTTGGCAATGGAAATGTGCACCTAGCCCAAGCAGTACCAGCAATAGCCCCGCGTCTGAGTATGTAAGATGATCACCTCTGTAAGTTGACTCAAATGAACATAGGCAGCCTAGGCAACAGCCTCTGGAAGACCAGAGTCCTCATGATGCATCATCTTGAAAAGCGGGTCCCAGACAGTCACTGGACTCATTGTCGACTTGCCGTACACCAAGGGGACCACGTTTTCGGCCGAGCATTCGAGGGCTTCTCCGTTGAGACTCTCATCGTCTAAGAACTTATTGAATGCGGACACGACAGTCGACAGTTGAGTGATGCTAGAAAACGCAATCAGCAAAGCACTTAAGGACGCATTTTGAAGTCACTGATTACCACTCAGGATGAACTGCGGCGATCATCCCAGCGGGCACCAAAGGCGTCCGAATGACGCCAGGCAAGACGACGTTGATCCGAATATTGTCTTTCTGTCGTCGTGTTAGATGAGTCAAAGATGTCCGTGATCCACACCAGTCTTTAACATACAATCTTGAGCACTCGGGATGCCCCGCGTACGAAGCCGATCATGCCAGCTTTGGCGCAGCAATACTCCGGAGAAGCTTCGTGGGGGTTGACAGCCGCATTGCTCGATGTCGCAATGATGTTACCTCCAGGGGTCTCGTTCTTCCGCATGAAATGGATGGCCAACTGCGTGCCGTACACCAATCCCTTGAAGCTAATATCGGTGCAGACCATGTTGGGCTTTGGCGGCACTTTTTCAGACCCTCTGTGGTTGAGGATGTAGATTGAGCCTCTGTCGGGAACACCTGCGTTCGCCAGCAACGCATCAATCCTGCCGTATTGATTCCACACATTCTGGAAAGTCTCCGCTTGCTCGTCGTAGCTGGAGACGTCCATCTTGTGGAAGCTCGCGTTGTCGCCTAGCTCCTGTAGCAGTTTCTCGTTGGTGATGATGTCGGCCATTGCGACCTGCCAACCCTGCTTCACTAGATCCCTGCTTATTGCCTCGCCTATCCCTGACTGCGAATAATGTCAGTTTCTTCGACAAATTGGAATAAGAACGATCGCAGAATCTTCTTACCGATGCCCCAGTCACGATCGCGACCTTTCTGTCCGACCTTATCAGTGAGGCAACGTCGGCTTTTCCTCTCAGACCGATCGTCGATGTCTTGGAAAGCTGGAATCTCCTTGGTGTCTTGCCATGATGGATATATCGAAGCTGGTGAGCTGCAGGTGCCTGAGTTGGCAATGCCCTCGTTGCGAGCCTGGCCACACGACCAACGGTGTAAGGCCGAAGAAGCATTGTATCAAGTCTGAGAATATCCAGGTTACAGACTCAAATAAGCGAGCAGACAGGAGGCTGCATTTAAAACAATTCATTTCGAATAGCGGCGGTCAGATTTCCACATCACAACTTCCGACCGCCTTTCATGCATGACAACTCACAACCAAACATGCGCAGCGTTATCCAGTGAGGAGAGGACTTGCTACGTCAATTGCCGCAACTATTTGTTGCTGTCTTGGGTTGCATGTTGGCGGAAGAATAGAAATTCTGCAGCAGTGACAATGAAGGAAAAGGTCGGTTAAACTGCTGAACGGGACCCTGTTGTTAGCAAACATCAACCAGTTGACAGTCATGCCCTGTCGCCCGTGACGGTATTGATCAACGGGATAACTTCTCTCTGCACGCCCTTGACGCAATCATCTTCTCCGTCTAAGGGCCAAAACCATTTTTGTGAATATTTACTTCATTCAGCACGACACGGCAGTTGGCTGGATTTGGGCGTGAAATTGTCACGGGCTAGAGCCCGGATTGATATCTCCGGCTTCGCCGGAGCAGTTACCGAGATCCGGCTCCGTTGGACCCACTATTCTGCCGCAGTACGCCGCCTAACCCGGCCTGCTTCACCGCTGTTAGGTGCCTACCCTTG